CAATTCTCCTTTTGGAGATGTGACCTAATCTCTTGTGCCACAACGAAACAGAATTCTTGTCGTTTAATTTTCGCTTTACACTCCGAGTACTTACATGCAGGGATTCATTAAAAGAAGCAATTGTATCAATTGAATAAAGATTATCGTAGCCTGATAAAGAACCGGAGCCAACCAATTTTGAATTATGAAATAAACTAAATTTTCCATTTCCAAATGAACAAGGATAACCAAATTTGTCCAAAACAGAAATAGAAATCAAACTCCATCTAAAAGACGGTACAATAAATGTCTCAACAAGATCCAAATAAAATCCAGTCTTTAACTGTAATCTAAATTTTCCTATTGCCTCTACTTCCACCTTCTTGTCGTCCCCAGAATAGATGTATCTTTCACCATCACTTGGTTTTCGGCAACTCAGGCAACCCTGCATAGACATACTGATGTGAATTGTTACACCAGAATCTACCCACCACGTATGTCTAGGTACCGAAGTTAAATTAACCTCAGAACAAACCAAATGAAAAAGAATACCTTTCTTTACACGCCATGCGTGGTAATTGGTGCAATTCTTCTTCTTATGACCAGCAGTTCCACAAAAGAAACAACTATCTTCAGTTAGTTACTTATGCTGTTTCTTTTGCGGTGCCGTACCCGCAGCTTCCTTATTAATCTTCCTTTTCTTGTTCCTTTTATCCTTAGAGGTGGTGGCCAAATGAGCACTTTCTGTCTTCTCATGCTTCAATCTTTCCTCTTCCTGGACACAGTGTGAGATGAGCTCATTAGGCGACCATGAGTCATTTTGACCGAAAGGGATATCAGAACCAAATGCACCAACAAGTCTTCAGATAAATCCAACTTGAGTGCCTTTAGTTTTGAAGCAATATGAGACATTTCCATAATGTACTCCTGAATATTTCATTTCCCTTTATACCTCATTGAGACAAGGTTTACCAAAAGTGTATTTGTTTCAGCCTTTTTCATTCTTGGCAAATCTCTTCTCAAGATCCTTAAGGAAACCCTTAGCCTAGTTACCTTTTCGGACATAGTGCCTCGGAATGCTTCTGGAATAGCACGCTTCATGACCATTAAACTTATGCGGTTCGATCTTTCTCACTTTTTCATCTCCCTCTTGTCATCAGAGGTACTCTTATCAGTAAGTGCAGCATGTTGATCGACCCGCAAAGCAAGGTCTAGGTCCATAACTCCGAGAACAATCATCACGTTCTCTTGCCATGCCCTGCCATTTAGCATTGGAATTGAATTGATGCTAGCAGAGATATTTGTAATAGAACCTGAAACTGAACTAGAGAACATTTATTATGAATAGCTCACATGAATATCTTTAATATACAAATAATAATAATCTCAAATAGTGATGGGGCCCATCACAAGATACCAAGCACAATATCAATATCCAGTCTTTGGACAGAGATATTGATTTGTAAGTAGTACTCTTGGCGTAGTGATCAAACATTGACGATAAAAAAATGTATCAATCAATAAACCTTTCTTTGGACCGATTTATTGATCACACATTAAACCAAATAATCATCACACGTTTACCACCACAGGCACACATGTATTCGGCTAAATATTGACCTTCCTTTGGGCCGACCAATATTCCCATGAATAACACATGCACAAATACTTTTTAATATTCTAAATTAGTCAATTTTCAAAAGAGAAGCAACTTTCGAAAATTATATCTCTTAAAAGAGTCCTTAGTACCAAAATTTGAGAAAGAAAATTGCCAATTTTGCATAGTTTGTTTAGTTTTAAACTTTAGGAGCCTTAGAATTAATCATTCAAAACTTTAAGGGGGCTGAATTAATTAATTCCAAACTTTACGGGTTGAAATTAATAAATTTGAAACTTTAGGGACCATAATTAATTAATTCAAAACTTTAGAGGATCAATTAGGACAAAATTAAAACTTTAGGGGCCAAAAATTGACCCAATTCAAAACTTTAAGGATCAAATTTTGAAAATTTGAAAATTTGGGGGCCAATTTGAATTAATAATTAAAGTTTGAGGGCTTTAATTATAAATTTCAGAACTTTAATGGCCTGAATTAATTAATTTTTAAACCTTAGGGACTAAATTATTAAATCCAAAACTTAAAGGCCCAAATCTGAATATAACTTAAATGTTAAGGACTGAAACTTTAATTTTATAACCCTAACTGTAATTGTAAGCAAGGGCCTCAAGTAGTCTAATTTACAAGACAAGCCCCACCCCCAAAATCTCAAAAAAATAAAAAAATTGAAAACCCTAAGAAAAAAATTTTCTTTTTCTTCTCTCCCTTGTGGCGGCGCACTCTGACACCGCCCTGAGTAAGGGCGCCAATCACGCCGGCGCTAGCACTAGCAGCGCGAAGCGCGCTGCAGCACCTCACGCTGCTGGCAGAAGCGTCAGCAGCACGGTGCTGTTCGTAGCAGCCGAGCTGCTACATCTTTGCAGCCACCGGAATTTAATTTAATTTTTTTTTAAACCCAAAATTTGTAATTTTAAATCCAAAAAATCTGTAATTCTTCAAGAAAATTCAGAATCTGAATTCCAAAGTCTTTAATCCAAATATGAAAAATAATAACAAAAAATATACCACAAAAGCTTTCAAATTCAACAAAATAAAGATCTAAACTTGTTAAATTTGAAAACTTCAAAAGAATATTGCAAGAACCAAAAAAATTATTCGATTCTCAATGATTCAACATGAAAAGGTTCTGATACCAGTTGTAGTATAATTTAGTGATTTAAATCACCGGATCCTTCATGTTAAATCATCAAGAAATACATAAATATGGCGGAAGCATACCTGAATCAGACATAGTTAATGCAATAATGAATTACGCGGTATAGTCTTCCAAATCTACACGCAGCTTCCTTTTTTCTCTCTGTGATAGGATGCAGAAGAGAATGAATAATACGTACGTGTGATTTGGGGACCATAACCGTATTTATATAGCGACGCCCTTTGACCTAATTCGGCTCATCATAGAATTAGGACTTTGGCCCGATCTCTACATATATATAAATGAGGAAATTACACCAAAGCAAGTTTTTAAATTTTCCAATTCAAAAATGAAGTTTAAGGATTTTTTATTCAAAAATCAGGTGAAATTTAAATTTTAATATTAATAATAATATTAAAAAATAAATTAATCTAAATATTCATCTCACCCCATTCAATTCCAACCATCCTATTGAATTTAACTTCCAAACCCTAAGTATCTTCGTCTCTCCTCTTTCTCTCACTTTTCACCCCTCTCCCCCTCTCTCTCTCTCTCTCACACTTCTTTCTTCTCTCTTCAGTCGCTAGCCACCTCCGCCACCAAACAGCCTTCTTCTCCATCTCTCTTCGGTGATGACACCTTGTCTTTTTTGTGCTGGTCAATGCCTCTCTTGTTCTGAGCGCAGGTGCAGCGGCTGCCGCAACTGCAAGTCTAGATCTCTTGGACTCGCTAAGAAATCCCTCGAAGAAGCCAATGAGGGTTGATAGACCTCATCCACAGAAAATTGGATTTTCTCAATCGGTATCTCTAAAGCAGGTGCTAAAGGGGCTTTGCATTTCTCAGGTTGCAGTGAAGAGGATAGGGACAGATCTGTTTTAATTGAAGTTGGGGAATCTGGCTTCTCTCTAACTGATGGTGTATTCGATTTTGATCGATTATGTGAGGTGACTATATGGTGTGTGGTTGTCGAATTTTTGGGGCAATGTTGTTGCAATTGTTTGATGACGTCGCTGCAGTTTGGTATTGCTGTTTGATGTTGTGGTGGTTATGGTGGTGAGGTGGTGGTGCTGGGGATAGGGACTCTTTTCAGATCAGTGATTTGAGATAGTGGTATAGTTGGATGCCGTGGAGTTAGGTGGTGGTCCTCGTTGTAGTCATCGCTTCAGATTTTTTAGGATGGTTTCGAGTCTATCTGGCTGGTCAAAGTTTTTGGTGGTTTTTGCAGGCGAGGTTGCAAATGGTGATAGTGGTGATGGTGTAGAGGCGGTGGTGGTGTAGCTATTTTGATCCGTGGGTGGTGTTATCTGATGTGCAGGAGTCGATGCAGTGGTGGCTCAGGTGGTGTTGACTAATTGTTGTGACATGATAGGGGTGCAATGGTGGAGATTGATAGTGTTTGTGACCAAGTACTGTGGTGGAATTGGATCGGGATCGAGTGTGGTGTTGCGGTGGTAGTGCAATCGACGATTGGATGGTGGTGGTTTGTGACCAAGATTGGTGCTGGATAGGACCGGTGGAAGTGGTGACCATAAAGTTTGGTCTGTGACCTTAAAATTTGACGATTTGTGACTAAAACAATAATATGTGACCTTAACGATTTGGTCCGTGACCTTAAAATTTGATAATCTGTGAGTAAAAAAGTTCATGACCTATAAAATTTTTGATTTGTGACTTCGAAATAATCCGTGACCAATTAATTTAATGATATGTGACTAGTAAATAAATATGTGAAATTTGTGACCATTAATTGTTTAACTGTGACTTTAATATATTTATTTAATAAATAATTTTAATTAATTAAATACAAACCTGAATTTTGAATTTTCAAACTTCTTACCTGGCTTTTGAAATGGTGTAAAGAATACACCTTAAATATGATTTTTTTTCCCTATGTAAATCCACACTTTAATTGAATATATTAAAGCCCAAAATCGTAGCCTTATTAGATCACTTTAATTGGTCTCAACTGAATTCGATAGCCTTTAATTTAACACACAATTATTCACACATATAAGTTCATTGATGGATTAAAAATCCTTACATTAACATCTCTACTGAATGCTTGTTTGGTAGGGATTTTGTTAATTGATTTTTTGACCGTTAGAGATAAATTGGGTCTTACCTGTGAGAGAAGAATTCAAAAATGATGGCGGAATAGTGAAATAACGGTCAAAAAATTAATGTTAATTTGATTAAAATAACTACCAAACATGCTTTGAATTACAGAACTGAACTACTAACTAATTTCGTAAACTCTTTTCTTTTTCTTTTTTTTTTCTTTCTTCTTCATCAAGTAGCTTGTCAAATAATTCGAATAATTACATTGAATAAAATGAAGGTCTCTCGAAACCACGGTAACAGGATTTCCAGCTGGAAAATCATATCATTTGTAGTTGTTTAACGTGAATGCCTACATAAATAACTTAGGCACAGTCATACATTATGTCTCAACACCCATTACGGATTTGTGGCTCGCCACAGGAATGAGGTATGCACTTACTATATATTTGATCAACTCTAGAAATGGTAAACATACGTTGTCGGGCATTGGCATTGGAAATTGGACTTTCAACTTGGCTAGGCATGCTTGTTTGCTCAACAACGGATGCCTCGACAACCTCTGGTGCTGTAATATAGAAAAATTAGTTGTAGAAACCTTTTTAAAACAGCTATTAAAATTCAAAAAGTGTTTGTAATCGGCCACATTAAAATTACCTTTTGGGAAGTTCTGTTTTATATCCAAAAACTGCTCAACAATAGTCAGACAAGTAGGGAAAGTTTGGGTAAAACCGGATCTAAGCGTTGACTAAGTAAGTGTCCTATAGTAAGAGGAATAATTATGAGCCCTGTAGAAACAGAATTTCCACAAAATTGGCTGACGGATGGTATTCAGATAAAAATCTTATTTCCTTTCTGTCTGAAACCTTGGAATAGATCTAAACTCCGATTCTCTCAATATATATATATATATATATAAAGAAAATCAGAAACTTACCCTGTTGGGCATTGACATTGGAAATTGGAATTTCAACTTTGACTTCAACTTGGCTAGGCGTGCTTGGCAGCTCAATGGATGCCTCAACAACCTCTGGTGTTGTAATTGTAGAAAAATTAGTCGCAATTACCTTTTTAGAATAATGATTAAAAAAAAAAAAAAAAAAAAAATTATCAATCGATAGTGATTTCATTCATGACAGTACGACATTTTAAACTTAAATTGTTCATTGTTAACTATTGTGATTTATTTGGACAAAATCTCTCAATGATTTTGTTTTACTGGATATAACTGCCTCTAAATATTTTATTTTGCTGACTAGTTTTTAACAGATATAAATTTGGAATAACTAAAATAAATAATAACCATAAGATAATTGTAATACAAAATAAAAGAAGTCCTCGGTCCAATCAAAAACTTATAAATGCTTACTTGAAGTATGCCGTTCTGAAGTATTGACCCCTCACATAAATTTCATATATCGGCCAGCTATCTCAATTTAATTATTTTCTCCAAATTAAATACATGATCTATTTTCAACAGTGGCTGGCTTGTTTATAAACATGAGTGTCCAAGAATACGCACGAACCTTGTTGTCGATTTTATCCCACAAGTGGACGGATCGTAACAAGTAGTAAAGTGGACCTTTTGAGTTCGGATTATCGTTCCCACGAGGACTATATTTTAGTGGTTAATTTATTATTCCTAATTTCTATTTAATGAAAATAAATAAATAAATAGAAATTGAATGTGATTTTTAAATCAATCTAAATACTAAAAAAAATGCAAATGGATGCAACAGAAAATAAGCGAGAATTCAAATAATAAACGGGCATTAGGGCGGAACAATTTCACCTAATGGTTACCTTTATTTCATAAATCAAGATTCATACAACCTAAAGTAGTGTTCGGTCAAATCCTTCTATGGTATTCAACTTACCCCTCTCGAGTTCTCGTTGAACCTATTTAATTAGTTCAATTTCATGTCTCTATGCAAATTAAATTTAATTAAACGCAACATTAGTTCTAAGAATTCACACACGACCGCAGCAATCAATAAAAGTATCTCTACACGTTATATCAATTTACCGGATTTTAACATGTAGTCTAAACAAATAATCCGTATCTCTACGCAATCATTGTTCACAAATCATCTAATTAGTTATCAAGTAATTAAAAGCATTAAGCACGACATTAAAATCAACACATCAAAAATTAAAGCACTAGAATCTTAATTCAACGAAATAAAGGAATCCAATTAAGTTAGATTGTTCGTCCTAAATCAAATTTAGCTATTCATAATAATGGAAGAAACACAAGATAAAATAATGGAAGATATCACCGGGATTAATTGACGAAACGTGAATGAAATTTCAATTTTACTCCAGTCGACAGCTTCAATGTTTGGAGTCCAATTCTTCCTCGGTTTCCTGTATGTATAAGTGATAAATTCCAGCAATTTCTGAGCTTCTCTGTGTGCCTTTCCTCAATTTCTGTGAGTGCCTCCAATATTTAATTGTAATCCCAGCTGGAACTTCTCAATTCTGCCCCCTCAAGCTGCCGTCTATTGGTGTGTATGTAAATATAATAATTGCCGGCAGCTTCAATTCTTGCCTCCAAATCTGCTTTCGACTTCCCTCTATGCTTTACACGTTTCTCAATTGATTTATCCAATTGTGTGTCGGGCCTTCTTCCAATTAATCCTAGCAGTCCGCAATTGAATTTTTGTCCAGCCGTTAGAAATTCTTTCGAAGTGTTGTATTTGGCCGGCTGCAGTTCTCCTTCCAGAAAGTGCGTTCTGCTGGCTGCAAGGGGTAAATATATATGTATGTAATTCCAATTTCCAGCAACCAATTCCCCCAGGTTGTCTCCCCAATTCCACCTCTCCAATTCGTCTTTTTTTTTATGTGGCTGTTTCCACCGATTTTTTTGTCTTCAGAAAACTCCCCTCCGTTCTCCTAGTTGGTATGTATATATATATTATATATAAAAAACCTAGGGCCACCCTAGTTGACTAAGAAAAGGATTCTCTCTCCTCTCTTTACTTGGCTTGTACGTGCTTATATATATAAAATAACCTAGCCACAATATGACTTCAAAATAGATTCTAGTAATGCCAATTGCCTGCCACCTTTGTTGACTAAAGAAAACTCTAATTCATGCATGCATGTAGGGGTTAAATCAACACCAATTGATACCATAATTATTCTTCAAGTCATTCCACTTTTTAAGTTAATGCAATGTAGTCCTTGAGTTCCTTCATTGTGCAATCAACATCCTCTTTAATTTTTCAAGTGTTGAATTTGATCTTCAATATTGCATCCACTAGCCAATTTGTTCTTCATCCTTTTCCATTTCCTCCAAACGAGTCCATCACTAAAAACAAACTAAAATTAACTCAAGTTAAATAGAAATTAATAATTTGACGACATAAAAGCTTAATAAAATGGTCTAAATAAGTGCATAATTTGTACTCATCAAACCTCCACGAGACAACTCCGACTGATCAGCCCTTGCTGGTTCTAGATCTGGATACGATTCATAACTTCTCGAGCTCATTGCTTTATCCGTCCTTAGTCTTCTTCTACCCGTTGACCTGGAAAGATATCAAGAAAACCAGTATTCTGTAGATAATTGGTATCAGTTGTGTTAATTTCTACATAAATGGTAAATTTTTTATAACATTTCAACATTGTGCACGTGACAGCTGATCAGCTATAGTAGTTTCAGTACTTGATCATATATAGAAATGCTGTGAATGCTGATTATTCCGTGCAGGCTCGGGTGATACTGCCCAAAAGTACTTTTAAAATGCTTTTAAGAACACCCAAACAAGCCCTCTCAATTAGTTCTGTGCTATGCTGCATGGAAAGTGTTAGCGAAGGCAGTGAATTTATAGCTGAAGTCCTCAATTATTATTCTATTTTTTTATTTTTATTTTTTGGAGAAAATTGCAGTATTTGTCTTCAATCTATTGCCTTATTAGCAAATCAGTCTCTAATATATTTTCTTGACATTTAAAAACCTCAAATTACAAAATCAAACTGAAATCGTTATTTTCAGACCATTGATTTGGATCTACATAGACCCATGAATGTTTAGGTTTATCATTTAAAATCGAGTTGAACCATTAATATAATTAGGAAAGAAGAAAACAAATCCTAAGTTTGAGAGTTCAGGAAGCTGCCTGAAAAGTGAAAGCAATTTAAACTAAACACCACTATTTTCACTATTTCAATCTATTAAAAAAGTGTTTGATGGAAATTAAAATTAGATTTTTTAGTAGATTGTGATAGAAATTTTTAAAATGTGTGGTTGAATTAATATGAATTGTTTGACTTTGATTTATATTAAAATCACATTTTAATCTAAATCAAACAGGCACTAAGATTCATAGCCACAAAGCAATTATTTTATAAGCGATGAATTATAATTATATCGTTACACCTTCCCCACTTATTTGCTTGCTATTTTGATTCGTCATTTTTTCCCCATCCCGAACAATTATTAGTCAATAATGCATAATAATTTTATCAGAAAATAAAGTTTATTGGATTTTCTTTAGTTAATTGAACTTCTTCGCATGCTCACGTGGTTCTTTTATTGATATTACTTTTTTGTCCTTCTTTTCTATTAATTTCTTGAGAAGTGAAGAACATATGAGTTTCAAATGTTATATTAATATTCTAGGAAAAAATGGAAAAATGTACTATCCTTGTGCATTTGGGGAGGCGCTTTCATTAAGTATTGTCATCTTGTAGTTTATTTTCACACCTCATTTTGCATTTAAATTCAAAACCAAGGAATTGTTTTTCCACAAAACCAAGGAAAATGGGTCACGTGAGGGGTGAGGAAAATGAGTTGCCAGGAAAATTTTTGCAATCAAATAATGAAAAGGTGGAAAAAAAAATTTCCATTTTCCATGAAAAATTGACCGAATCAAACAGGCCCTTAATAGTTAATGCCTACAAATGAAAAAGAAAGTGAAAGAGAGATATTAGTTCATTGTTCTATGAAGTAATTGCTTCACTTTGTTGTATTTGAGTGAAAATTTATTGATTGCTTACTTGACAGACAAATAAAAAATATATAATCGTTTTAAATAGTTTGATTTATATATGGCAAAAATCATTCAAATTCAACCATTTTTTCCTTAATCTTCATGTGAAAGAGTGGCAACATACCTAATATTATTTAGGTCATGTTTTGTCTTCATTTTCTAAGATTTATTTTTCTTCAAATTCTTTCAATAAAACAATATTTCAGGTTGATCCGTAGCTGTTTCCTACTTTTTAATCACACATTCTTTAAAAAAAAATCATGTTTACAAAATATATTCTCAAAAAATCTCTATCAAACATGTACTTAATTGTTTTAGCAGCAATGGTTGCAAAGGTTCGGTGGTTGAAATCAGTTGCATGTGGTGTGGTCCATTAGGAAATGTGATATATGAGATTTTCTGCATTTTTGTTAACTAGGAAATACGGTGTTACATAACTTTAAATATGTGCTTATTAAACCTTTGTTTGAGGAACCGTGCTGCACTTACCAAAAGGAAAGTCATAGAATTTTTTCAGACAACTCACATGGGCATGGGTGGGTGATATTTTTTGGCCTTTTTTTGTCATACATGGGACCCACATATGTGTCTATTCCGATAGAATTCTGTGAACTGAAATTCTATACAAATGGAAATTTTTTTGATTGAACTCCATTTTCTCAAAACTCATTTTTTTCAAAATTTATTTTCGATTACATCTTTTTTTAATAAAATAATTTTACATATAAATTTCACGTGTGCTCAATAACTGCTTCTCTAAATTTATTTTGTTCTTCTAAAAGTCAAATTAACTTCTCTTTCATTGAAATTTTCTAGTGAAGATAATTCTTTTCACTGAGGGTACTTATGTTGCATCCCATAAAAACATATATTAAGATACGGAGTTCGACTTACAAAATTTACATAAGCTATTCTTGTTAAGAAGAATGACAGCTATTCTTGTTAAGAAGAATGACACATACTCCTTTCTGTTAGTTATTTGTCGTACATATAATCAATATTAATATCGACAAATATGTGTTACTCATAAGCTGATCATCTCACGGACGAAGGGTGATGAATGTGGTTATAAAATATACAGCATGAAAGAATTAAACTTGACCATTAAGTTACAAGCATAACTGAATAATAATATATTATAAAATTTCAAAAAAAGAAAAAAAAATGGTCCAATACCGCTCTATTAGACCAGTCTACAATCGATGCAACCAAAAATAAATAAATAATGAATATTTATATATATTTAAAAAAAAAATCCTTTGAACCAAACTCAAATAACCCGTCGGATCATTGTTAATTAAAAATTTCAAATTTTATTTAGCATTTGAATAGTCGCATAACACTATAGACTTCATTTTCATCTTCTAGAGTTTTGGAGTAAAGATTGAAATAAATAAATAAAATTAAGGATTAATTTAGTAAACAGTAATTATTATTACTAACTTTTATATAATAAAAATAATTTTTATTAGATTTGTCATGAGTTAACTTACACATTCAATCACTAGATTAGAGGTTGAACTATTAACTCAATAACCCAGCTCTATAGTCAGTGACGGATCCTGAATTTTGAGTAAGCGAGGGCAGACGTTAGC